GCCCCTGCCGTGGGAGACGGCCCCGGATAGAGCCAGGGCACTAGGCGGGGTGTATTCTGCCTCCAGAATTCCCCATGGAAAAATCAGGAGCTCAAGGCACTGGTTTCAGCTAAAAATACTGGTTTATATTTAGTCCCCAAACCCCCTCTTAGTGCGTGATGCGGAATAGCCCCATGTGGTTCCTTCAGCCTAAAAAACTATTTCTGTCTGTTACACACTATGGAAGGTGTAACTCCTGTCAGTTGAAACAATTTCACTGGGATGATGATTCCAGCCACAATCTGTGCAGCTTTCTCCTTCCTCTTCCAGGTGAATAAACACTTGTCATTGTGCACTGAACACCAGCCAAAAATGATGCAACAGTGAGGGCAAGTGATTCTTCTCAGCTAATGGGTTGAAAGCCTGTAATTCTTATGGCTTATTTTTAACCAAGAGCAACAGAGGGCTACTTCACCCAAAAAATCTGAGAATGAAATTTCTTCTTTAGGAGGCTGGGAAGTAAAAGTAAAGCTGCCCTCACATAAGCTGTATGTGTTGTCACACAGCTTGAGGCAATATTAATAATGGGATGGCCAGGGAGAGAGGCAGCACTGCATTTCAGGCTGCCAAGAACTTCCAACTTCGCTGCAGAAGGGGCTGTGCCTTGTTATTCTGCTTCTTGAATGTGAGTTGGAGTGCTTCAAAATAGTTCCACATGCTCTCAGAGAAGCTTTTTCAGAGATGGGAGAAGCTCAGCGCTTGTGGAAATTTTTTAAGTCGAATTGGAACAAACATTGTATTATTGAGATAAATAAAGAATCAAGAAAAGAGTCTCTGAAACACCTCATCTGCAAAACTTGATATTTTTGTAGAATACTTCAAAGAAACTCAGGTTACTTTTCCTGTAACAGCAGATGCATCTTAAATCCTCCACAAGACTCACTCAAGCACAACAGGAAGACTGTCGTGAACTTTATCTGGAAAAGTGGTTCCTCTGTCAAAATATGAGTGACTTAGCCTGAGAAGAGCCCATGTCTTGCTAGCAGCCTCTGTTTACACGCCCTCCTTTGTCACAGTCTTAAAAATAACTAAAAAAAAAACCAAAGGCAGGCAGGTGAGCATCCAACTGTACTCTTTGAAGTCAGTCATTTCAATGCATGTCACCTCAAATGGCTTATGCTGAAAGACAACCACAAATATACTGCTACTTCTGCAACATCCAATTATTTTCAGATGTCCTTCCCCACATGCAGCAAGCTGAATTTCAAAGGCAACAAGAAAGCACTCAGGCTACTCCAATCCATCTTGCAAGGGATTTATTTGGACACTCCCATAAGGTTAAAGTTTCATTGGGTCATTTTAATCCTCAGAGATGAAAGCCAACCCGTAAGCCAGGAAAGAACCTGATCACACTGTTTCCCTTTCTGGCCTGACTGTGTTTACCCTGAGCTTTTTAGGTAAGACTTGCTGCTGTCACACGGTGTCCCCTGCAGGCGGCATCAGTGGCTGTGACAGAAGCATCCCTGAGAAACACACCACAACCCGGACAGGCTGAAGCCATCCCCAGTGCTGGCTGAAGTGCTAGTGACTCCTCTGTTCTGTCTCCTACTGAGGGAAACTTTAAACAAAACCCCTCCAGGGATCAAGGTCTATCTAGAGTTCCTATTCTAGGAGGTGAGTGACTTGAGGGAAGTCTTCATCCCTTCTGGGAAATACCCATAAGCACAACAGGCTTTTCATCAGACTTCTTTACTTATCATCACTAACAAATTTAGAGTCACTTGGGGCCAGGCCAGTCCTGATGTCCCGTCAGGTATCAGTAAAGAGAGTTGGGCTTGGCAGGACCTTTAAGAGCCACCTGTGGTGATATCAGGCATAGAAGGAAGACAGAGCATCAAGGACTGCAATATATTAATTCTAGGTAAATACAATTAAGTATCATCAGCCAGTAAGCACTAGATGGATTTAGCTAGACAATTCCTTTTCAGAGCTTCTCCATAACCTAATGGCATTGTTATTCAACCCATTAGCTGCCAGCAAAACAGAACAATTGAGAAAGCAATTTCCCCAACGTCAGTTTTTGGCAAAGCTCATTTCAAAATGCACATTGCTGTGGGTTCAAACGTACACCCAACAGCACGCCCTGTTCCCTGCACTCAGGGAAGGCCCCAGCTCACAGCACCCTGAACCAGACTGCTACAGACACTCTGCTCATTTCCTTATTGAAACTTGTCAGCTGGAGTCGACTCATCTATTCAAATAAAGCCACCACAAGCCCTTTTCCCAGCCTCTCCTCTGCTGCCCCGGGCTCCTCACCCAGCTGCACGTGGGAAGCAGCACGAGTCAGCAGCGCTCGCTGTGCTGACACCAAAGAAAAGCCAAATGAAGAGCTGCAGTGTTGCAATTCTCCTGTAGGAACAGAGACTAAGGAACCTTGACCCCCATTTTACCTGGCAAATGCACCAACTGCAACAGAGCAGAGCTGCACTGGAGGAAACATTTCCATCTTCTGCTTCATCACCGAATTGTACCCGAAACCACGTGTGGTTCAACCTCCTCCTGGTGCCACCCCCTGCCCTGAAACTGGCCGTGCCAGCAAAGCCTAGCAGGTCAGCACAGCAGAAACAAGAGGCTTGGACACATTTTCAGATGTCCATGTTTTGTTCCCTTCCTTTCTTCTCTAAAGGCAGAAAGAGGAAATGCAAAGGGAGCTCCAGCTGAAGCAACCTGCCCGGCTCCCAGCGGGGGCACTGCCGGGGCTGAGACACAGCAGCTATTTTAGGATAAGGGAAGGCTGACAACCTTCAGATGTCAACATTTAGCAGTGGGCAGCATTTCAAATATTTACACAGCCCTGTCCCTTCCTGAGGGGATGCAAACGTTAGGCCTTTCTACACCAGAACTGCTTTTCAGAGGGGGCTGAACACTCCCCTTGCTCCTCCAAGTCAGGACACTGAGCTTTGGGGATCACTGCTGTGATGGATGATCAAAATGGAATATTCAGGGACCTAAAATAAACCACAGATAAGACTGGAGGTAACAATGCTTTATTTGTACATTTCAGCAACAGGAGAAATAACTGAAGATGAAATTATCTGCTTTTGTTGTAAAGTATAAAAACATTTAATTATAAATATTTAGCTAAAAAAGCGTGATTTATAAAATATAATCTGTGAAGATATATACACAGTTTAATTGTTTAGCAATTCTTTCACCTGACATTAAAGAGTAGAGGTTTTTCTATTTATTATTCCACGCTCACAGTTTAGTGCTCACAGTTTTAAGAAGCAAAACAGAAGTGAAAAGATGACTGGTGAGTTTCATTCTGGAAAGAAAAAAAATAAAATGCACAAACTAGGGCAACAGGAGAGACAGAATTTGAGCAAATCCGTGTTTCAAAAGAGGCCTGAGGGAACACAGCTCCCTAGCCATGACCTAGAGCATATATATCCAGACAAGCAGTGGGCATTTTAACATTTGTGGGCAGGTTTCCTCTGTTTGCTAAAGAAAATGTTTAATAATATAGTGTAAGCCCTTCAAATTCAGTTCAGCTAAATGTGCTCACCTCTCTGCTCTTCCCTTCTTGAGCAGGGATTGCTCAGTATGCTGGGCTGGTGTTATCTGGAATGGCTCTAATAAAAATCAAACAATGTCACCTTCATGATTCAGGACAGGGAAAAAAATTTCCAAATAGAAAACCCCAGTGTGCCACCCGAATCAGTTATCCAGCTGGCACTATCCCTTAAAAACAGATACAGCTGCCTAAGGCTGGAAAATACAGTGAAGTGGTACAGTACACTGAATGTGATGGAATGTGAAAGAAGATCTATGGTCAGGCAACTCAGTTTTCTAGTCCTTGTTTAAGAGAGAGCCAGCTTTCTCCCTGGGAAGTCCTGGGGAATCTCGCCTCTTACTGAAAGGCTTGTTACTATGGCACTTCAGAGAAGAAATCTGGAAGACTCTCCAACATGCTGGGTGTCAGAAAATGCTACAGGAAATGATAATTAATGTGATCCCTAGTAATTATCTTTCTCTCTTCACAGTGTTTTCACAGTGCCTGCAGCACGGGGCTCTGAGGAAGAAAAGGGATAGTCGAGTATGTGTGACAACACCCGACAGCAGTACAAACATGCAGGAAGTCTAACTGTACTCTGTACACCCTGATTCACACAAGACCTCACTACTTGCCTGTAAGCAAGGAATGAATTAAGAGGGGGTTAAGAGAAAAAAGGATGAATAGAAAAGAAGGAAAGAACAAAGTAGGAAACGTGACACTTGTCAGTGCTCACCCACGACTTGCTACCTGCTCTTTCTGCTTCAGGGTGACGTGATCCTGAACAGTTCAGAGCAAACAGCGTGCACACAGCTCTTAGGGTTTACCTCGTTATGAATGCGTAGTGACTCCAAGAGCTGTGCCCTGGGGAACTCGGGAGGGTCTTCAGGAGAGGAAGGCTAGGGAAGCTGGAACAAGCCTCGGGCAGCTCTCTGCAGGGAGAGCCCCGAGGTGGGAAGCGTACCGAGTCCCGCGCGGCCCCCGCGCCGGCTGGCTGCTCACTGGGTGAAGGCAGACTTCAGCTCCCTGAAAGCTGCCCGGCGGTGCTTCCGCTCCTCCTCCTCCCGCTTCCGCTCGTCCTGCTCAGCTTTGATCTCTGCTTCAAACTTACTGGCCGAAGAGAGGGCTTGAGCCTTTAGGAGAGAGAGAGAAAACAGAGCGTCAAGCCTTGCTTCAGAGGGAGAGCCAGAGCCTGGGCTGCTCCTCCCAGGTGAGCAGTGCAGAACCGTTTGCTGCACCTCCCAGTGCTTGCTGGGAATCTCCATCAGGATGGGTCAAGGATTAATTACACTGCAGGGCTTGGGCATTTACATCAGATACCTGTTAGCTTGCCTGACTAACATCAACAAAAGAAAGGTCACTAGCAAGTGGCCAAAGCAATGTCCTTAGTGCTGGGTCACATACGTTCTCCCTCTAAGCAGGAGCACAGTGCAAGCTGTGAGGATATAGTGGGAGAATCTACTGCAGAGAACAGTTCTGAATGACAGCCAAACCTGAGAACATCATGCTACACCACGGTTAATCTGCAGATCAAAGAGACATTGTTTATTTGCTGGCTATTTTTCCAGCTTTCATCTCAGTACATCTGCTGTGTAATAGCTGTGTTATGCTCTTGGGAAAAAACTTCTTATATAAACAAGCAGGATTATTTTCTCTCCAAGAGAGCTTTCAAAAAGGGTGCTTTGTCAGCTTCAAATAGCACAAAGCTCTTTCTGCCAACCCCAGGACCCTGCAGAGTAATTTTGATTCCAAAGGTTACAGAGAGCTGCTCGAGAAAGAGAGATGTCTGAAATCCTATACTCCAAAATACTCCATTCACCACTGAACTCATGAGTGCTCTGGTTGAGGGAGGTTTTGCAGAATGTGAAACTCAGTCCCTACTGCATTAGTTCCCAGGACACTTCAGTCTCTAGAAGTGGTCAGCCAGCTAGTTCCATGGAGCTCCTAGACACAGGGACATGGGTTGGCCTGTCAGCTCTACCAGACTCTCTGGGCAGAGATGGTGAATTGAGCTGTTCTAGTGTTGACTGATCTGCAGAGGAAGGCTGTGGGCAGAGTCCAACAAAGTTTGAAGGGAACAGCTATGGCTGAGTTTGATGGGGGCAGAAGGGGCATGAAATAGATCCTTTCAGCTAGGGAGAAATCTGGCAGTATATTCCCCTGGAAAGCAAGCAGGGGCAGTGTCTCAGTGGCAATGACAGCCTGTGTGCAGAGCTTTTTCATGCTCCTCTGTGTCACACTATACCTTAGCTTCAAAGAAGTTCTTGGCTCCTTTGACTCCCTCAATGGAGACGTCTATCTCTGAGAGCTTTGCAAGAGTCAACAGGCCACTGTCCTCCTCGAGCTCCCCTGCTGCAGCTTTGTGGAAGATCAGCAGGAACTGGCAAGACAGACAGGG